ATTTTTTATACTAGGCACAGATGCTTATGACAAATTAAGTGCCATTGTGAACAACACACGCCTAGTAAATGATATCAAGAAAATGTCACCCGACACTCAGACAAGTGCACTTGAGTCATACCATGCTGTGCTGAACTTTTGGCACCCCAAAATGCTCTGTTTTTCATGGATGGGGACAAAATGCAGGTATGCAACATTCAACATTGTTTTACTTGTCCCATAGGGTGTTTTGGAAATACATCATAGATATGCCCCTCCCCTCTCCCATTAAATTTTGAGAAAAAAATTGGTGGCTCAAAAGGAGCTAAAGTATAGCAATTTGTTTTTTTATATAATCGATGGATAGGTGCATAGTACTAATTACCACTGTGTCAGGCAATTTCCATGTCAGTCCGGCATACTTTTTTTCCATCTGAATTGTAAGCCCATGCTGATCTCCATTAATTCAAAAGATTATTTTCTTAGTGGGTGTTATGATCCAACAACACTTACGTACTGTGTGTGAATACACTGAGCTTTTACAATTTGACAACTAGGCAAATTCTAGCGTCACTTCACTTCAATGAAAATGTGCATCGGGAAGTCAAAAGGAAGAAGAATGGTGAAGTCGTTACACGTGTTTGGTGGCCAAAGTTTAAGGCTGGTGAGGCAGTAGTTAGAGATGTGAAAGTTGAGCCAACTTACAGTAGGTGTCATGTTTTCTATTTTAGTAAATGCATAATAGTGTATGCCGCTTAAATTAATGTGGGAAAGTGATTAGGAAAATAGAATTTTATTTTTTCCAGGATACAGCGATAATATAAAGGAGATCTTGTTCACAAGTCCATTAAAAGATATGGAAAAGATTTATCAGAAGGAACAATCTAAAGCCCCAAAGTCACTAACTTCACAGTTTTCAAACAGGTTGTCTCGAGAAAATGCAATTCAGCAACTTGCGACCACCCAAAGTGTGAAAACCCCACTGTTTCCTGCATTAGAAGTTCAAGACCAATTAATCATTGCAGAGAATGAAAGATCTAAGAATATTACTCAAACTTCTAGTGCTACCAGTACTACTGCCAAAAAGAAAAGATTGCCTCATTGTAAAAAATGCAAAAAGCCTATGCTAGGTCATCCACGAAATCGTTGTCCAAATTAAAATATGTTCTATATAACACCAGGGGCTGGTTGTTCAAAGCCCGATGAGAGCTGACATGTTGTATTCAATATTCATGACAGTTGTATTCAATGCATTAAATTACACAGTTCCCTGCCTGCATTGTGCTGGTAGATATCCCTTGTTTTCATGTCTCTGCCCTCTTGGATATTTTGTTCGAAGATAACCATAGATGCAAGCAGGCAAAGGTCTTGTGTTGCTCCAACCCATGTATCCACAAAGCCATCTTATTAGCCAACGATACGCCACAGACCTCAAATATCTAGAAGTTGACAAAAACACATGAATGTTAACAAAAGCACATACATGTATAAGTTGACAAAAACAGCAACAGTTTATATAATACAGTTGTTGAATGAATGTACTGCTAAAAGTAATTTAATTTATGTGCGCTGACTTACTCGTCTTCGGGTACATTTTTCTTCTTACGATAGTGACTTCCATCCATACGAACTAATGACTGCCCAGCTAGAGTTAACACAGCCTTATTTGTGATTGCTAAAAAGTCTTCGTGTTGGGTAATACACTTGATATGCTCTATCGAGCCGTCAAACGCCATTTTCCCCGTCGTATCTACGACTTCCCGGCAACACCTGTACTCGAGAGATCCAACAAGATCTTCTACTTTACATTGGCCACAACTACACCAATCTTTAACATCGACTTTGGTTTCGTATCGTTCAGCAAGAACACGAGGGGAAAGACCATCCAAATCAACTTCGTCATTGCTGGAGCTTGTGCGCTTTTGTTTGTTTGACTGACTAGTAGCCAGTGGTTCATGAGCATAAGGTTCATACTGCCCATAAACCACACCACATAGCTCTTCTGAGTCGCTAGAAGATTCTTTTGAACTTGAAGAGTCGTTGTCATTAGAAGAACTTGACATTTTGCCTTTTTTATTTCAGGTTTGACACAATACTTTGTCTATTATTTACATGAACATGCAAACAAATTTACGTCACATATCGCACGTGGCCGAAAGGCTCGTCCCCATGCCCCGGGCCAAATTTTCCCATAAAAATCGAAATTTTATGATAGGTTTTTGCTCTAAAAAAGGTCAAGGGAAACCAAAACCCTTTCGAACAAGGTGTTTTCATATTATAACAAGGTCTAGCTATAATATTATGAGAAAAAAAAATTCGTGTCAGTTCACCTTTAATATTCTGTATACGTAAATCATACTATGAAGCCCGGTCATCAAACGCATGCAGTACTGAAATCATTTTGCCGGTGTACAGGAGGTATAGCATTTATTAAACAGAGATGAAAAGGACGGTGTTATTTTGAAATTTTGAAACAATTGGGATGCTTATATTGCTTAACGTGCAGGCATAATTTACAGAATATTGACATAGTCTATTCATTACGAAACGACTGAATGTATATATATAAAGCGCTGGACCAGGCATATTACGATCGATTTACAAATATATAAATATAGAGGCATTCCATTATATATAATTATAATATAAATACGCCGCGGTTGAAATTGGGACTAAATAAACTAAACTAAAACTAAAAATAGAATTCAATAATGGAAATATCCCGGCGAACGTAATTTGAGTACTTTTGAGTATGATTTCTTCAAGCTATAGTGCTTTGATATAGTAAATTTGTACAATGTACTATCTACAATCCCAACTCTTTAATTCGCATCTAACTATAGAACAATTTTTTATTGAAAATTCAATGAACTTTAACCCTGAAAAAGTAAGCATACAAATTTTACCATATAAGCTACCTTGTGTGCATATGGTGCTGTATTGAGCAATTGTATTAATTGTTAGCAATAAAACCTCCGTTTGTCACGTTTGGTTCGGGGTTATGTTTAACCTGCTTCTTTAGATTTTTTTGGCAAAAGTTAAAATCCTGTATGTCGCGACAGACGTCAGGTTGCCTATAGGTATTGGAAGGGCACTGAAACTTCGCACTATCCTTGGACCCCTAGTTTAATAAGTTTTTTTTATTTGCATTGATGGCTTACGGACCGAACCTAAATTCACGGGGTGTTTCTACAAACGTCCAAAATTTAAATTGTTAATAGTTGAGCATGAACAAAATGGCCTAACCTTGACGTTTGATTAATGACCTTGCGTCTCTTTCACGTTCCTGCATTTTTTTACAATTATTACTGACGTTTCCATGTAGTGACGTTTGAATGAGGATTGTTGTCGGAATATCATTACTTTCTTCTGAGCATGGTTATTTCACTAATATCTACACTCAAAGGAACCTTCACTGGGTTGGCTAACTAATTACATGGATATATTAATACACCCATCCCCCCCACACCACCAATTATCAATGTTGGGGATAGGCCTGTTTACCGTTAGGTATGATCATGTGGAATAATGATTAGCAGTATGGCAACTCTTCTAGCAAAACTGATCCTGAAGTTTGTATTTTCACTCAAAATTTAAAGCTGAGAAACTTCTGCTTTAATAGTTGATTGTTCATGATCAACTTCATTCAATGTCTCTGTATTCAGATTGTGTAAAATTGTACTGTACATGGAAATACAAGAAGACTCATGACTTATTTTATTTATTTATAATTTCATAATACTTTTCTTATATAAGGTTTGCCATTTCTGTTTGGTATCAATGTACAATCAAAGCCATACATATTGGTTACTGAATTTTATGGAATTGGTGGACAGTGTGCTAATAATGATATAGCTGTATATTATGGACTTGCATGCAAAACACTCTCACCTTTGAAACTGTAACTGTTACAATCACTTTCTCCGTCTGTGTCGGATGAAGACGTTGAAGAATCTTTCTTCAAACTTCTCTTCAGCTGGCGAGATTGTTTTAAAGCCATATGTCTACGGAATGTTGTTTCCGAAACGTTTTGTTCGCAGTGGTCGCAAAACACGTAACTGTTCGCCTTATCCATATCGTATTATAACTGCCACGCACTTTGGCCAAATTTATATAAACTTGTATATCAATCACTTCCGCACTTTATAATTATACTAATGAGCGAATTTGCACAATAAGAAGTCTTTCTTATTTCTTGTATATTGTCCGACAGTGTCTCGAAGTGCTTAAATTCAGGTGAAATAAAGGCGCATTATAGCATTACGTTACTCGATAATAACAAACGTATCAGATATCATCATGTTTATTTGTTACCATATAATTGTTGCAATAACAATATATTTAATCCTATTAAATTGCCGTCCTAACGGAATTAAAGTAGGTGTCAGGTTTTGTCTTCATTTAAAATCAAATTAAAGGTGATTAAATGCTATCTCTGCCTTTAATCAACATTTAAACAACTGGTTAAAGTTTATTAAACTATACGCGCACTAATGTCGGCTTTAACCCACTTTAAAATGCTCACTAAATGCAATTAAATCTATCGGTTTCCAAAAGAGATGTTTTATTCAAAATAAATGCGATTAAATGTAACTTTTTCTTTAATCACCTTTAGTCGGCTTATTAAAAGTTATAGATACGCATTTAATACCTTTAGTATTTTTGCTAAAGCTAATTAATGGCACGCTTTTCGTCCTGTGATAGTTAAAAAGGCCCTGGATAATTCAATTTTGGAAGGACCATAATGAATAACGGTATAATTATTAAAAAAAAACATATTCATTCATTTGGAGCTTTGGCGTTAAAACAAATGTTGGCTATACATTCATCTTTACATTTAGTAACGACCCTTCTGTTTTGAACTGGAATGAATTAGGGCGAACGCAATTGTTTGTCTCGGTAACCTACTGGTTTTTAGTGGTTTAATGTTCTAAGACTTTTGATATGAATCTCCCTATTGCAATATTCTATTCCTTCGTTTTTTCTAACCAAGTATTTACAAGTTTACTTTGCTTTTTCAGATATATTAACAAACAGTTGCTGTTACAAGGCGAGCTCAAGTTTCCACTTCGGCTCGCAGATCGCGCATTTGGATACAAATATTTATTGCTGGATAAGAAGGGTGAAGGTACCTACGAAGAGTTAGTCGAATTCACATGGTTTGGCATTACCAACCGATGCCTTGTTATTGGCAAAAAATATGCTGCAGAGAACAGTAAGTGTTTTAATGTTTAGTGCCACACGTTCCTAAGAATTTAGCTGACTGTTTACATTATTTTTCGATTTTAAAGCTTTTTGGAGCGTTTTTTTTTACTCGCAAAAACTCTTGGTAGTTTTTGTATTCAGCCTAAAATAGTCTGTATTTTATTAAAGTACGCCGGTTTTAAGTTTGATATGTTAGTGTATCAAGCAATACTTGACACCCTTTAAAGTTTTTCATCAATTCTGTTTAAAGTAATTTGGATTGGAAAATACTGTAACCATGGTGCCGGGCGCGGGACGCGTATTCAGATTTTAAATATTATAAGACGAAACATCACGACATCAAATACATTGGGAGGCAAAAGTTTGAGTCCAGTGACTGTATTTCATTGTTTTAGAAAATATATTAATATTCTACAGAAAATCTTACCGATAAGTGAACTACAAAAAAGTAAATGAGTAAACAGAAAAATACATACTGTACAACAACTATGAGATGTTATGATATTCATTTTACGTATTTTAATGTGCAAACATGCATTACATGTCAATGCTTAGTGTCCTTCTTTTTTCCTCTTGAAATGACCTTTATTCTTGCTGGCATAGACTCCATTGGTTTTTTAATGTCGCATGTTCAATACCTTGCCAGCATTCGTTGACCACTTGCCTCAAGTCATCCTGGCTTGCGGGTCTGTGCCTCGCCCTTTTCCGGTTAAAACGGTCCTAAAAGTGCTCCATAGGTTTTGGATCTAGGATTTGAGGTGGAAAGCCATGAGAACGAGATCACCAAAAAGAGTTCGCTTCTAAAAGATTTGTGGCACATAAAAGATGTGCATGTGCTTCGGGGGATTGTCATTTAGTTAGACGCGCGATCATCTTTGTACCAGATGAAATTCCATGTTCTTGAAGAATTGGATTATACTTTTCTTTAATTAGGATCCTATTATATCTTTCAATATTGCCAAACCGAGCATGACCGAAGCAGCTAAAAGTTTGCTTGAGTAGGATTTAGTTCCTTCGAACCTCTCCGGGGTTAGTTGCATACCACCTTTTGCAATTCTCACTTTTTCTGCGATCTTACGAGGAAAGAATCCTTCAACACTATTTGTCCTGGTTCACCATCACTTTGCTCTTTTTCCCAACTATCTTAGGCAGTGTAAAGGAGTAAGAACTTTATTTTGTTATAACTTAGATCATTAGGACCAAGACAGTGTGCAATTAATATGGTTTACAGTACTGAAACACTAGCACGCATGTCTTAACTCGAATACCCTGCCATGATTTTATGCTGGAATTCTACAACGACTGGACTCAAACTTTTGCCTCCTACTGTATATTTTTTACTTTTAAATTGTCGAAACTGTCTTTTATGCCTTTACTAAAAGCACTATATGCTGGGCGATATTTATAATCTGAATTGGAAAAAGTAGTCGTTTTAACAGGTGAGTATATGACCTGTCCTAAACACGGATTGACACGGATTCACAGAATCATAAAAACTTTTATTCTTTACAGTTGTAATATCATCCGGCAACCAAGCAGACAAGCACCTAATTACGCATGCATATTTAATTCCCATACGTGACTTTTGACTGAAACTTACCTCGGGTGTTAAGTGGTGTGGCTCAGGCATATGCATAAATATTCCACACAGATTTTTGGGACTTATATCAACTCCCTCAACATTACACAACTCCATACTCTTTATTTTTTGGGACCATAAAAGCGTACTCATCTTCATAGTCTACACGATTCGTTCCTTTACCTACATTTTCAGGACCTTTTCCAAAATTCCTATCTTTCATTCCTGACTGTGAATCTCCCTTTATTCCACACACTGCCGCAAAATGACCAACGCTCTGACACTTTCTGCAGGTAGCTGATTTTGCAGAACAGTTTTTGTCACGGGAAAAGTGTCCCTCGCGACCACAACGAATTAAGTAAACACTTAGCCTTAGGTCCCGAAGGATTACCATTTTGAACACCAAATCTTTTCCTCACTCGAATGCGATTCACGTGCCCAGTAGTGGGGAACTCCATAGTCTTCGCCTGAATGTCAACCGCTTCCATTGCTCGTGCGATTTGTTGTACATCTTCTAGCTTCAAATCTTTACTCTTCCTACAGTTTTCTTCTCCATCCAGATGACCGACACCTATTAATTACTTGGCCTCGGATCTGCTTACCAAAATGTTCTCCAAAACTCAGCTTGATGCCTCAGCGTGATCACAAATTGGTCAACAGTTTCCCTCTCTTCTTGTTCCATCTGACGGAAAACATGCCTTTCATATGGCACGCATGCTTTTGGGGGAAAATAATCGTCCAATAATTTCATAGCGACTTCGTACTCGTCCATTTTGCTACCGCTACTGACATCGGAGACGTATAACGCTTCAAAAATTTCCTGAACATCCACACCAGCACAGTGCAGAAGTAAGGCCTTCTTTTGCTTTTTATCTTTAATTCCCTTTCCATTAACAAAAAACTGAAAGGTTTTTCGCCATCTTTTCCACCTTGGAGTTATACTCGTGATATCGCCTTTACAATCAAAAGCTTGCATGTCGATTTCGACATTTATCGGCATTTACTGCTTTTTAAGATAAAATGTTCACAAAATATAACAGTTCAGACTTTAACGTTCTTCCTCGTTGCCAAGTGTAGTGTACCTTACAAAAAAAACACATGCAAACCATTTGTGTTTCTCATGTGATTCACATGTGTATACATGTGATCATATGTGGTTCACATGTGATCATATGTGATTCACATGTGAATATACGTGGTTATTATGGGGTCTACATTTGAACCACATGTGATGCGCATGTGTTTACATGGGGAATATCTGTCAACACATATGGTTCATATGTGATCACAATTCACAAGTGCTTCACATGTGAAAATATACTTACATATGCGGCTCACATGTAAATGTTATCATGGATATCATAAATAGTTAAAAGACTTATTCTAAAAGAAATATAGTGATTTTTTTAACCAATAATAGTGACTTTATAATCCATGGTAATATGTATATATAACGTATTTGTTAATCGACATCGTAGACAACCCAGAAGATGTCTTGTGGATTCATTGGATTGTCTGTATATGCCGACATATAAGGTTATATATATATATCAAAATTCTGCTGCTTATTAAATGCTATAGTTTATAATAAAATAATAAGATATTTGGCTATGAGCGAATAGTAAACTCGGCCTCGTAATAATACATTCGTCCTAATATTTATAAGTCTGAGACCAATTTCCGACCGGAGTAATAACCCAACGACCGACAAAGTGACATCACATTCCGCGAAAACCCGGGAACCGGCTTTTTTTTTTTACAACGTCATTTTTGATAAAAGACACAAAAGGATAATCTTTGTCACTCTCCTATGATACGATTCGAAATGAAATAGGTGCTTGTTCATCGGATTGAATCAAATAAGACAAGCATCTTAAAGAAAAAATATATTTTTTAAAGACAAAAATGTGCATTCTAAAAGATCCCGATTCCCGAGAAGTAACGTATGGTTTTGTTTGGATACTCAAAGATGAATTTCCCAAAGACGGCATGGAAATCGTATTTGGAAACGTTTTGGCAGAAAGTGGTAAGCATCTCAGTAACACTTTACAGCAGGTTCATGTTATTGCTCGATATTCTGGTTTACGTATATTGTCGTGAAAATGTGTCAAATGTCATGTTTGTGTTGTGTGTGTATTTTATATTCATATAGTTATATTCATTTATGTGGAAATAGAGTAACTTGAAAACAGGGGAAATAATGCGCGCAAACAAACGCACGTCCAACCACGAAGAAGGAAACCGCCTGTCCCACACGCTAACGCAAACGGATGGAAGAATGGGGGCAGTGCGGTTAGAGAGTTAACCGCGTTGCGGGAAAAAAACATCCTGGGACGTGCATAAATTGCGCAAAGGAAATTGATGTCAAAATGGAATAATATCCCCTATAGCTTTAGTATAAATATATGTAGAATTGTAAACTTTAAGTTAGTGTTATTAGGAGAGTTGTATTGTGTGGTGTGTTGTCACCGTAACGTCAGAGTGAGTGTGTCCTTCTTAAGCGTGCCGTCTTAAGAGTATTGTGTCATCGACGTGCACTAAGTGTGTACAAAATATACCTGTACATAGAGTGTTAATAAAAGTTAAAAATACAGTCCCCGAGTTGTGGTATTCGTTGAATCTGGTGCCAGCAGCAGCGTAACTTGCAGAGAGGCGAAGTTGCGCGACACGTGGTCCTTCGAGCCGGATTACAAGCAGATTCAAGAATTCAGCAGAAATCGAGTATCGAAGTGTAGCTATGTCAGGTATATCGAGAAAACGGGCAGAGAGAGGCGGGCATCGAGCCTATGTCACCAGGAGTTTGGCACGGGCCAAAACTCTAGTAGAAGAAGTCACAGGAGAAAGTGTGTTGGAGCTTAATACGTTGAAGCTCAGCTTATCAGATAAGAGAGAAACAATAAAGAAGCTAGATGAGCAAATTTTAGGACTCATTGAAGATGACGGAGACGTCGAAGCGGAAATAGAGTCAGCGTCGAAAACGTCCGACGAGATATACGACGGGTTAGCGGCGATTGAAATGGCCATAAAAAGGGTCGAATTATCGAATCGGCAAGCCGGGTCGCAACAAGAAACATCGAGGGCCAAGGCTAGCGCTCAAGCGCGGGTAAAGCTTCCTAAACTCGAAGTTCGGAAGTTCTCGGGAAAAGTACAAGAATGGCCAGAGTTCTGGGACGCCTTCAGCAGCGCCATTCACGAAAACGAATCCTTGTCGGACGTAGACAAGTTCACTTATCTGCGAGGGTTGCTCCAGGAGCCTGCAAAATCGGCGATTGCAGGGTTTGCGTTGACGTCCATAAACTACGAAGCGGCCGTAAAACTTCTCGAGCGACGATTCGGTAATAAGACAATCGTACAGCGGGCGTACATCAACGATTTGCTAAATTTGAAGCCAGTGTTCAATGGGAACGACACAGAACGTTTGCGCAAGTTTTTCGACGTAGTTGAAACCAATTATCGGGGGTTAGAGGCGCTCGGTGTCAAAGAGGAAGTCTACTCGGAGATCGTAGTACCGTCGATCCTAAATAAGCTTCCAGAGGTCGTTCGACTGACAATAACGAGGGGTGAGAAGTATATGGAATGGACAATGAACGACGTGGTCAAAGCATTGTTGGCAGAGATAGAATTGCGTGAGTGCCATGATTTAACCAGCCAGACAACCAACCAAAAGGGAGAATATCAGGGGCGACGCCGTCTACCGGGAACAATTAACACGTTGTTAACAAAGAAACAAGGACTTTTCTGTGCTTATTGCACTGGAAATCACAAGAGCGAGGAATGTAGAAAGGTCACGGACAGAAAGGAGAAGTTAGAACTATTACGTAAGTTTAATAGATGTTTTAAATGTATAAATAAGGGTCATGTAGCTAAAAATTGTCGTGCACGTAATAGTACTTGTCATGTATGTGGCGGCCCGCACCATGTTTCGATCTGTGAGAAAGAGTGTGAGGGAGGTAGTGGCAACCAGAGTAAGGAAGACGAGAAAAGCAGGGAAGAGCATGCAGACCAGGCAGTGGCCATAAAAGCCTTCATGTAGGTACAAGTTGTAGAGTTGCCTACAAACAGCGCAAGGTATCTTGAAGGGTGAAAGAGAGAAAAGAGTGAGAGTGCTTTTTGACTCAGGTAGCCAGAAATCTTTTGTAACATCCAGGGCAATGAATGACGCAAAGTTGCGTGTGATTAGAAATGAATGGCTTGCGATTAATACGTTTGGTACGGCGGCGGACAAAGGGAAGTCAAGGAAGGTTGTTGATTTTGAAATTGTGTCGAAACGTGGCGATCGGAAGTTGCGGGTAGAGGCGTTGGTTGTGCCGGAGATCTCGCGAATTAGGAACGAGCATCTTGAGGTTGTTAAGGGTCAGTATCCACATTTGCAAGGTTTGTGGTTGTCGGATGTTTGTAAAACGGGTGAGATGTTAGAGATTGATGTGTTGATTGGGGCAGACAATCTTTGGGCCTTTCAAAGTGGGAAAGTTTTGAAAGGTGGTGATGATGAGCCAGTTGCTGTTGATACGATGTTAGGTTGGGTGATTAGTGGTCCACTGCTTGGGAGCTCAGAAAATGAAATAGCTAACGTTAATCTTGTTTCACAGGGCGGAGAACAAAACGAGTTAAGTTCAATAGGAGCGGATATAGAAAACTATGGGATTTAGATACCTTAGGGGTTAAGGAATGTGATGACGTGCATGAAGCGTTACTCGACAAGATAACATTTAACGGATCAAAATATTCGGTTAAGTTGCCGTGGAAACAAGGTCACGATCATTTGCCATCCAATTATTCGAACAGTTTGGCTCGCATGAAGGGACAGATAAAACGACTTACATCTGAACCAAGTTTGCTAAGAGAATACGATGCGATAATAAAAGAGCAGGAAACCCTAGGTATAATTGAGAGGGTGGGGGAACTGGAAACAAAGGAAAGAGTGCATTATTTACCCCATCAAGCGGTTGTACGTAGGGACGCAAAAACCACAAAATTACGTATTGTTTACGATGCGTCGTCAAAGGAGGGTAAGAAGGGAACATCCTCAATGATTGTCTTCATGTGGGCCCTTCACTGACGCCATTGTTATTTGATATTTTACTAAGGTTTAGAGAAAACCCAGTAGTGTTAATCGGTGATATAGAAAAAGCATTTTTGAATGTAGAAGTAGCACAAGAGGACCGGGATTATTTGAGATTTTTGTGGGTAAGAGATGCTGTAGGAGGTAATTTAGAAATTTTAGTATACAGGTTTTGCAGAGTAGTTTTCGGGTTAAATGCATCCCCATTTTTGTTAAACGCGACCCTTAGACATCATATTGAACAGTTTAATGAGAGCGATCCAATCTTTGTTCAGAAACTCAAGGACGGTTTCTACGTAGATGATCTAGTTTCAGGAGGTAGAGTAACTGAAGAAGTTAGAGATTTGTATGAAAAAGCCAAAAATCGAATGGCTATGGGGGGATTCAAACTGCGCAAATGGATGACGAATGACGCAGCACTGCGAGAGCATATAGGCAAAAACGAGAGCCAGGCTAAGAAGGATAAGGTCACAAGGTTAGACGACATTGAGACGTATGCGCAGGCAAGCTTAGGAATTGCGCAAGATGGAAATAATGATAAAGTATTAGGGATCAATTGGGATTACGAAAAGGATATTATTATGTTTGATTTTTTGAAATTAGTAGAGAGTTTCAAGGAAGAGAAATTCACAAAAAGAAATTACTAAGTGCGTTGGCCAAGATATTCGACCCGCTAGGCTTGGTTAGTTGCGTAGTTGTTTTGATGAAGATCCTATTTCAGAAGTTGTGTGTCGACAACTTAGGCTGGGATGAGGAATTAGTTGAGCAAAACTCAAGGGAATATTTAAACTGGATTGAGGATTTGGAAAGAGTAAAATCGATTACGTTAGATAGATGCGTTTACAATAATATAAATGGCGAATTCAGTCGTGTGAACTGCATGGATTTGGCGACGCAAGCGAGAAAGCTTATTGCGCCGTAGTTTATTTTGTGTGCCATACATCAACAGGAGTTTATGTCCAGTTGTTGACAGCAAAAACCAGAGTTGCACCGCTTAAGACTCTTACAATACCGCGACTTGAACTTATGTCAGCACTGATGTTAGCTAAATTGGTAGATTCCGTAAAGAAGGCTCTTGCGACGCAAGTTAAGTTTACTAACGTTAGATATTGGTTAGATAGCATAACGGCCTTATATTGGATCCAAAATCATGGCGAATGGAAACAATTTGTACGCCATAGGGTAAATCAAATTCTAAATCTGAGCGATAAGGGGAATTGGAGCCACTGCCCGGGGCTGGAAAATCCCGCAGATTTAGGAAGTAGGGGAGTATTAGCATCTAAGTTGCAAAACGATTCATTGTGGTGGACTGGGCCACAATGGCTGAGCAGCGGGGAAGTGCATGGCCAGAAAAGGGGAAAATTATTGCCACAGAAGGTAGTAAGGCAGAGGAGAAGAAAGCAACTGTGCTAGTTGCGAATACGAAGAAAGTTGCATCAGTAGGCAACATAGTTAATATAGAAAGATATAGTTCTCTAGAGAGATTAGTACGTGTGACTGCATGGGTGCAACGATTTGTACGGAAATTGATTGCGAAAACAAAGGGGAAAGAAGAGTTTGCAAAATCAGATTATTTGAAACGTGAAGAATTAGTAGCAGCAGAAAGACTTTGGGTAAAAGCCTCGCAAGTAGAGTTGAGAGAAGATGAAAAATATAAGCAGTTAGAAAGGCAGCTTAGGTTAGTTGAGGAAGAAGGAATAGTGAAATGTCGAGGAAGATTTGCAGAGTCAGACTTAAGCGAAGACGCCAAATACCCAATGTTATTACCAAAGGAAGGTAGATTGACGGAGTTAGTAATTATTAACTGCCATAATAAGATACATCACAGTGGGGTAAGGGCAACGTTAGCGGAAATACGATCACGTTATTGGATTCCCAAGGGTAGGCAAAGGGTTAAAAGTATCATAAACAAATGTACGGTGTGTAAGAAATTAGAGGGAAAGCCTTATAGCGCACCAAAGGAAGCTGATCTTCCGGAATTCAGAGTAAAAGAAAGCGAACCATTTTCAAAAACTGGGATAGATTTCGCCGGACCATTGTTTGTCAAAAATGCGACCAACGGAACCGATAAGGTTTACATTGCCTTATTTTCATGTTGTGTGAGTAGAGCATTACATTTAGACTTAGTGAGAGATTTGTCAACACAAGAATTTTTGCGGTGTTTGAGACGATTTTCAGCTCGCAGAGGAACTCCGGCACTGATAGTAACCGACAATGCGAAAACATTTAAAGCCTCCGCCAAAGCCGTGAAAAAACTATATAAGTGCGAGACCTTGCAGGGTTTCTTAGGAGTCAATAGGATTGAGTGGAAATTTAACTTAGAACGAGCTCCCTGGTGGGGTGGATTTTTCGAACGGATGGTGCAGTCGGTAAAAAGATGTTTGAGGAAGGTGCTGGGGAGTGCGAGACTGACCTTTGATGAGTTGTTGACGATGTTAGTGGAAGTTGAGGGGCGCTCAACTCTAGGGCCACTAACATATGCTTATGACGAAGTTGGTAGTGAACCATTGACACCATCTCATTTGTTGGTTGGTAGGAGACTGAAGTCAATGCCGGACGGTGTGGTTGGTGAGGAGTCGGACGAGGAATACTGTAGTAAACGGTTTAGGTATTTGTGTAGAAAAAAGCAGCATTTTTGGAATAGGTGGCGTAAGGAATATCTTACTGATCTTAGAGAATTCCATCGTGGAAATCAAGAAGATAGTAAGAGGGGGTAAAAAGGGAGATGTTGTGGTTGTATTTGAGGATAATGTGAAGAGAGGAAATTGGAAGACGGCTGTTGTTGAAGAGTTGATTGTTGGAAGAGATGAGGTGATCAGGGGTGCAAGGGTTAGGTTGATACGCAACGGTAAAGAGGTCATTCTTTCTCGCCCTGTCCGGAAACTCTATCCAATCGAAGTTAATCATAGCCAGGAAGCAGAGAAGCAAAATAAGAAAGATAGATTAGAAAAGGGAAACAAAGCGAATGCTGAAAGTGTGAGGCGAGAAGGGAGACCAAAAAGAGCAGCAGCATTAGATTCAGAGTGGAGAACGAGAAACATGATTAATTGACTAGCTGCGCTAGTCAAGGCGGGGAGTGTGTCGTGAAAATGTGTCAAATGTCATGTTTGTGTTGTGTGTGTATTTTATATTCATATAGTTATATTCATTTATGTGGAAATAGAGTAACTTGAAAACAGGGGAAATAATGCGCGCAAACAAACGCACGTCCAACCACGAAGAAGAAAACCGCCTGTCCCACACGCTAACGCAAACGGATGGAAGAATGGGGGCAGTGCGGTTAGAGAGTTAACCGCGTTGCGGGAAAAAAACATCCTGGGACGTGCATAAATTGCGCAAAGGAAATTGATGTCAAAATGGAATAATATCCCCTATAGCTTTAGTATAAATATATGTAGAATTGTAAACTTTAAGTTAGTGTTATTAGGAGAGTTGTATTGTGTGGTGTGTTGTCACCGTAACGTCAGAGTGAGTGTGTCCTTCTTAAGCGTGCCGTCTTAAGAGTATTGTGTCATCGACGTGCACTAAGTGTGTACAAAATATACCTGTACATAGAGTGTTAATAAAAGTTAAAAATACAGTCCCCGAGTTGTGGTATTCGTTGAATCTGGTGCCAGCAGCAGCGTAACTTGCAGAGAGGCGAAGTTGCGCGACATATATGACCTTTCCCAAACACGGATTGATACGGATTCACAGAAAAGCTTTTATTCTTTATACAATTATAACATCATCCGGCAAGCAAGCAAACAAGCACCTTATTATACGCATGCATATTTGTACCCGTACATGCCTGATTAAATATTCAATATACTATATATACCACAGTGAAGTTACTGGACTGGCTTTGTCAATTTAGTCCTTATATTAATTTTCCAACATTGCTTCTCCGAGGTTTCGGAGGTCTCCTACTTCAACTTTAGGACAATGTTGATATGCGTCGGCTGCCAAATGCTTCCCACAGGTCTCCAGCCATACTAGATTTTTTATCAGTATTTGCGCTTTCGGGCATCCAAAACACTCCAAATTGATGGAGGGAATGTTCAGGTTTGCGAGGAGATCCTTCTCGTATCAAACATATTGTTTACAAAAGGTAATTTGTGAGCGCTACGGTGTGCGCTACTCCCACGCGTGATGATGTGCGCACAAGCATTTGTTTACACACATTGTCAGTTGATGACTTTGTTCAAACGCGTTTATGCATACATTACTGGTAATAGGTTTTAATGACAGGACGAACCTGAACATGTTCCCCTCCAAACAAAGAGTAGCTTGCACATAAATATCGCACATCGAACAAAAATTGCCCGAGAAAACACAGCAATGGAGTGCTTACATGGAGTGCCTGCGACCGCAATCTCTACCAAGAAAGGAAAGTTTTGGGTTTGTAACAAGAACAACCCTAAATGTTGTGAATTCTTTTGCCCTGAACAAGATCGTTCGCTCTTTGATACGGCTATGATGATGTGGAGGGCGAATGGCGCGATTCATCCGCTGTGTGACACAACCAAAGACCGACCAAGATGAAAGTTGTGAAGGATCTAAGTAAACGTAACTTTGGGAGACCGTTCTTTGTTTGCTGCGATCATA